GTAGGGCGTTTCGTAGTAGACGAAGAGAGGAGAGCGACGGAAGCTCGGAATACCAAGATTCCCATTCCCCTTGTTCCTTGGGGGTAAGGACCTTGTCCCATGCGTGGTTGATAATCCAAAGTGTTTGAAACAGAAGTCGTGCACGGATCACGAATGGCGCGAGGTATCCTAGGGGATCGAAAATTCGTGAAAATGCCTGAAGGAGTGTGCGTTTTGTCGCTCGATGCGGTGGGAAGGAGGCTCCATTTGTGCTGATAAGGACGTCGTCAGCTGTGCGGTCCCATTCCAGACCTAGCACCTTTATCGTGTCTGTTTCCGTTGTCGCATTGTCGTACGAAACACCATCCTGCAGGAACAAACTCTGGAGGCGAGAAGAATTCGATGACCACTTACAGAGTTTCATCCCAGCCTTCGCCAGGATGGACGTGGCATCGCGGTAAATGTGAAGGGCCTCCGTTTCTGACGCAGCACCCACAACGAGGTCGTCGACGTAGAATGAGTTCTGTAGCTCGGAAACGACTGAGGAATAGTGATTCTTTATTGATTCAAGGTGATAACGGAGCGTTGCTGCCAGAAGGAACGGACTCGATGACGCTCCAAATGGAACACGAGTCATCCGCCATTCGACAATGGGAGGTGGAAGCCCATCTTCTGGTGGCAAGTGTTCGATCCAAAGAAATCTAAGGGCGTCACGGTCTTGTGCTCGGATGCCGATTTGAAGAAAGGCCTTGTGAATGTCAGCGGTCAGGATGACTGGACTGCTGCGGAACGTGAGGAGGAGTTGTACCAGGTCCGTGTCCAGTTTGGGGCCCTTGTCCAGAACACTATTCAATGACGGCATGTTCGGAGCGTGGGACGAAGCGTCAAAGACTACGCGAAGCTTAGTTGTGACTGCCCCCTTGCGCACCACGGCGTGATGGGGTAAGTAGTATACACTTTCAGAAGGAGTGGAAGAGGCTGGAATTCGCTCAGCGTGCCCTTCGCGAAAATACTGTCGGATAGCGTCGTCGTACTGTATAAGAAGTTCTGGATTGTGCTGAAATCGCCGAAGTTGAGCATGTAATCGAGTGACAGCTGTCAGGCGATTGTTGTCACTGATACCAAGTTCTGGGTGCTTGAACATCAGAGGTACTTCATAGCGGTCCCCCTTTTTAATGATCTGTTCTCTGAATTGAAGCAACGCTGGGTGAGTTGCCGGGTCAGTGGAGGGAAGGTCAGAGATTCCGATTGCATCCAGTCGCCACATCTCGGATGGATCAAGAAACGGTCCGGTGTTCGCTATTTCGTAGCTGATTAATGAAAGGGCTGTTGTGTTACTCCGGCAATCAGTTGAGCAATTGTAGCGACCTTGTACCATCCACCCAAAAAGGGTATGGACTGCTGTCAGTTGTTCGGTTAGACGACGGATTTGTCCAGTTACTACCTTCCAGTAGAGGTCGGAGCCGACAAGTACGCTTATCTCTGTGTCGGCCTGTAAACTCGGGTGAGCGACGTCAGCCACAATCAGCCCTTCGGAATGTAGCTGATTCAAGATATCAATGTCGAGGCGAGGTGTTCGTACGGTACAGAGGTCGGGTACTTCGAGCGCCTCCATGGTAACCTTGCTCGTACTGTACTGACTCTGTAGCGTCAAGCTCACACGGCGGCAACGATAATTTGTCGGGTGTCTAGTGTTTCCGAATGTGTAGACTGTGAGCTCTTCGGTACCGAGGACTTCGCATTGAAGCCTCTCGGCGGTGTCTCGCTTTCTTGGACTCAACCGCTTCACCGACTTGAATTACTTCGGAAGGCGGAATGTAGCCCTCATTGCCAGTGACGCCTGGCTTGACTCCTGAGCCAACCACACAGTTCCAGAACCTTGGTTTTCGGTGAGCTCAGCTTTCAACTTGCATCAAGAGTCAAGGCGATGACACCGGCTCTGCTCAGACCCCGTCCATCTTGGGGACGACGACAACGACCATTAAGTTTCCCGAGTTCTGGTCGGCCGACTCTGAACTATGGTTTCTGACGACAGAATCCATTTTCCGAAAGCATAGAATTACGTCGTCCTCGACGAAGTTCGATTACGTGGTTTCGGCTCTTCCGCAAGCAACAGCGGCCATGGTACGGGATATACTGCGCTCACCTCCAGACGATCAACCTTACGAGAAACTACGAGTCGGGACACAACCTGGGAATCCTCACGACAGTGGCTTCCGCAGAGACGTAAACGCTCGTCACCTCCGCCTCCTCACTAGGGGGGGAGTACTTGTAGTGACCGCTTACGAAGAGAAGAAAGAGGAGCGGTCACGGGACTCGAAGCAGCGAGACCACATTCAGAACGGCGTAAGCCAAACTGTAGATATGTAAAAAAAAATACGTGATGTAGAGGCACGCACCTCTACACGATCTATTTAGGGGCTATTTAGATGTCCCTCACATATTTTTATATAGTATTGTGACGTCCATGACCGTAATGAAGAAAGCTCACCGCTAAAAAACTATCAGTAAGGAACTCGTCAAAGGAAAGCTGAGCGCATTTTTATCGGATACAGAGCTTTCCAACCTTTTGACGGATACAGAAAAACCTCCATATTGTCATTTTTGACAATATGAATGGTTTGCGTATGACAATTGGCACGAGAACTACTTTCCCGAAATTCATCTTAAAAACCCCAAAATACGGGGAAGAATTTTCCATGTTGCTTCTTTCCTTTTGAACGTTTTAGAATAATTGAAAACAAAAATTTGTGAAGGCTGTCATGAACGTTATTGATTCAAATCAAAGAAATAATAAAGCTAGGTTAGCAGCAATGCTTTTTTCTGCAGAAATAGACGCTACAAATATTCCTTTTTTTTCTGCTGTCAGCTTTTTGCAATCCTTCTTGGTTTGGCACGAACAAAATTTCTTCGACTCATTTCACAATGTTCTTTCTGAATGCCGCGGCATAAATCCCCGCCTATTTCACGTAAAACATGGGATGTCCGAACAAGTGGTCAGTCGGGTCGGGCCACTTGCGCTGGACTGGTTGTGCGCTCTCGTGACGGGCGCTCTAATAGCGAGTTTTAGTACACCGTGTTTCCCCGTCCGCTAAACCCCTCCGCTACCCGGAACTCTACAGCCAAGGCCATCGGCGCGCAGGCGCACTTTCGGTCCCTTCGTAGAGAAGGGTTAGCGGAGGGGGAAACACGCTCTATTAAAACTCCCTAATGACACGCGAACTAATAGCGAGTTTTAGTAGACTGTGTTTCCCCGTCCACTAAGCCCCTCCGCTACACGGAACTCTACAGCCAAGGCCATCGGCGCGCAGGTGCAGTTTCGGTTTCTTCGTAGCGGAGGGAGAAACACGCTCTACTAAAACTCACTAATGACACGCGAACTAATAGCGAGTTTTAGTAGACTGTGTTTCCCCGTCCACTAAGTTCCTCCGCTACCCGGAACGCTACAGCCAAGGCTATCGGCGCGCAGGACAGTGGCAGTTTCTACGAAGCAAAGGGTTAGCGGAGGGGGAAACTCAGTCTCTTCGTCTCACCTTAGTATGGACTGTTAGCTGCGCGTGCTAAAAGCGCGAGCTAGTTGCTTCGAATTCAGCCTCGGCGGCTGAACGAGCGCTCGTGCAGCGAGTGCTCCAGTAAAGGCAGTCAAGGCCTGCCGCTCGCGCTAGCACAACATTCGCGGTTAGTCCATGCTAAGGGGAGACGAAGTATTATACCCCTGTCAGACGGGCTAGTTTAGTGTCACTACAAGCGAGTGCACTTTAACCCGTCGAAACACACTCCAAGTGTGTTGGTGCTACACGGGAAAACTTACCCCCGAATTCATAGATGTAACTTAACTTGAAGCCGCGCCTCGACTTGCTGAAGACCGCCTCAAGACCCGCCTTGACTTGAACGCGCTCAAGTTGGCTTTTTCATTTCATAGACCCACCGGCGCACTTCCTTCGTCAAGTCCGGTTGAAGTCACGGCCAGTCGCGGGACTCCACCTCTGGGAGCGAGAGTATCGTGCTCTTTTACACTTAAAATGTGTTGTATATTTGGAAAACAAATTATTTAGTAAAGCTTTTTTTGTTACACTTGTTTAGCACTCAGAAATTGCCAAATCCATTATCATAAATGTTTTAAAAACGAAAGTTGCACGCGCATTTTAGAGAAAACGATGTTTTCATCTGGCAACGTCCGCACCGCGCGAGCGCAGGTGGGACTCGCGAGCGTGCTTCAAGCCGATCGCCGTCGTCGCTCTCATCTTTTCTGTTTGAGATTTCCCCAACCTCTCAATGGCAACTAACAAAAAATCCGCGCCGCGCTTTACTCTCGATGAGAAGCATATTCTAATTGGGCTTGTGCAGAAGCATAAAACTGTATTAGAATGTAAAAAAACCGACATTTCGTCAGCAACTCTGAAGGCGGAAACGTGGGAGCGACTCAGCACTGAGTATAACTGCATGCCTGGCGTGAGTCCACAAGACTCTAAACAGCTAAAAAAATGTTGGGGAAATCTCAAACAGAAGTGGAAAGAAGAAGAATCAGAACAGAAGAGAAAGATTCACAAGACAGGTGAGTAACCGAGTTACTTTAAGCAATCGAAGCACTTCAACGAGTGCGATTCGCGGCTGCCTTTTCGCCAGCTTGTGTCATTTCGTATTGTCAGAGCTTCCCCATCAATATTTATGTTGAGAAGTTAGATCAACGAGTATGGCAAGACCGTAACATACGCACAGTGTGACGAGCGCAGTTGAGTTTTTGATTGTCTTCATAGCTATGTCTGCTCAGTTTTATCTTAATCTTTTACAAATAACACGTTGTGGAGTGTGTGGGGAACGATTGTTTTGTCTGTGCAGTGGCATAACTTTATTTTCGTGACGATTCAGTCGTTGTCTTTAGGTTTTTACATAACAAGTAAACATGCTAGTATTCCCTTACCTTGTCTTTGTATGGAATTAGGTGCGCGTTATCCGTGATTTTATCCAGTGCCTTGACATATATAAAACTGCCATTAGGAGGGGGATGCCCCCCTGCCCCCGTGAGTGCCATCTCACTGCTTGTCGGGGCATTGGCGGGGCACATGGCCGCTCGCCTCCCCAACGAGGACGACTGCGATGGGGCATCCTACCTGCCCCCTGTCCAGAGCGAGCCGGTGGTGCGGCTGCTTCAGCCAATGATCGACGGCGAGGAAGAGCATTACGACTACATGGGTACAGTGTTACATGCATAATGCGTCTGTGCAAGTTGCAACACATTGGTACAGATTTGTGACCGTCAGACTTGTATCTTCACGTGCGACTTACGTGCAAGTTGTGTGCGGTGCATTCTGGGTGCATCACCATCTTTGGGTCCCTGACAGCAGACAATCGCGGCCGCGCGGACATGAACATGAACGATAAGATTTCCACAAAACCTCGCCCGTCGCTGCTGGTTATCGTAACATGCGTCGGTTGCATTTGGTTTTGACAGACCGAGCGACAGCGGTGTTGTGTCGCATCTTTTGGAATCAACAAGAAAAGAGCCGTATGAGAGCGGAAGGGGAGTTTGATTCTTTTTGCCCAAACTGTGGCAACCAAAGGGTGGCAAAAAGAAACTTGTGAGTGGAGATTTGTTACAGTGCCGTTTTTCCGCTGCTCCTGAGATAAGCTCACATTCGAGTTTCTTGAACATGTTTCTTTGTTGCTATTGAAATTTCACAACTAAGCCTAAGGTATGAACCACATATTGCCGCACGCAGGGCTGAGAAAGCGACGCTCAGTCACGGACCTCTAGAAAGTTCTTGTTTATTCTTGTTCTAGACGTAACTTCTATCATTTATTCCTGCTTTTGTTCTCCCTTGGACAGCGCCCGGCTTGCATAAGCGATTACTCTCTCTGCTCCTTCTTGTCGCTGAACGAGTACCGCACCGAGGCCAGTATTGCTGGCGTCCATATGGATTTCTGTCTCCGCCGACTGATCAAAATGCCCGAGGATAGGGGGTGACTGGAGCTTTCGCTTGAGTTTGCCGAACGCTGAATCGGCGTCCACACTCAAACTCTGTCTCCGGGCTGGAAGTGGACGTCGCGGCGACGAAGATTGTACCGGCGAGCGTCGACACTATGTTGATCGTGGATTCGAAGGCGGGCTAGTTGGCGGGCCTCTTCGGCTCTCTGACTGACCGCATGGGCATCGTCGCATCCGGCATCCACTGGCTCATGGGGCAGCATCGCGTCCAGCATGGTCGCCACTTTTCTGTCATGCACCAGCTCGAATGGTGTAAACCCGGTTGTTTCTTGAACTGCAGTATTGTAGGCGAACGTGACGTAGGGTAATACCTCGTCCCACGTCCTGTGTTCTACGTCGACGTACATGGAGATCATGTCGGCGATCGTCTTGTTGAGGTGCTCCGTTAGCCCGTTGGTCTGCGGATGGTATGCGGTGGTCCGGCGATGGCTGGTGTGGCTGAGCCGAAGGATCTCTTGCGTGAGCTTAGCCAAGAACGATGACCCTCGGTCCGTGACCGAGCGTTGCTTTATCAGCCCTGCGCGCGGCAGTATAAGCAATTCTTCCAGGCAAAGCGACCAAACTGGACCCCCTGTCACTCGTTTCATCGAGACCACATGCAAGCGACGCACGTCACGATGAGCTGCAGCGACGGGCGGCTGCCGAAGTTTTGTGCAAATCTTGCTGTTCATGTCCGACGAAAGCAAATGGGGCCCACACTTACTCGAGATGAAGTGCCTTGAGCACACTCGGTACTTGTCGGCGTTTACGTCGAGGTATTTCCGGTTGACGCGTGCAAGCCATTTGCGGTGCCTTCTTACAGAGAGCGACCAGACTTTCTCGCACTCGAGTCTTCAAACTCTCGAAGTCTTGAAGAAATGGGAGTCCCCAAGCTTGCTCTCTTCTTTTTTCTTCTTCAACTGCAACTTGCTTCGGCAGTCGATCATTACGAACAACACCATACTGGCGCTGAAAATTCTGGTGTCAACAAAACCAGAGAAAAGTGAGTTTTCATAGGTTATTTACGCTGTCCCGCAACGTTCTCCGCAACCCGCTATGAGATCTGGGACTCTGCAGGCAAGGCTAGCGCCGCTCAGGTGCAGTTCTGGCGTCCTTGTTTCGGAGAGCGGAGGTGGGAAAATGGTTTACGAAAACTCTCTAAAGATTCGTGGTGTAGTGCGGCTGATCCTGGTGTGGCCACGCGACTGTCTGCTGTCAGGGAATCCAAAGATGGTGATATACCCAGAATGCACCGCACACAACTTGCACGTAAGCCGCAAGTGAATAGCCTCTATACTTATAAAGCTATGAAATGTGTATCAAAACATTTGCACTTTCAAAATACACTTGAGCTGCAGACAAAGTCACGCTAGGAGAGGGCCATGGCATCTTTCCTAGTGTAATGTTACATAATAGCTTGACCAAATAGACTGCTTCCATAAAACCATGCACGCAACACTGCATGTTTTGGTTTAAATTCCTGTATTCACTAAGTCGGACATATATAAAGTGTGGACCATGTGAAGCCTGGTTCAGAGTTGCGTTCAAAGCGACTGGAATGACAGAACAGAGACTCACTGAGACAATTGTTTGCTACACTTCCAGTGTGACAACCAGTACAATTAATAACATTATCAAGCCATCACAGGTTCTGGTTGCCTCATCTCTGTCATTAGAGTAACTTTTGTTACTTTGCATGCAAGTGACTTGAACAATGAACATTAAGCAGAAAAATTAACACCAGAATAGAGACATGCAGTGGAGTGAAATATGGCTGATTGCCGTAATCAACAATTGAGCTCACTACATAATTTCTGGTATGTAAATTGTATGCAACGTGCTGCATATAATTCCTCAACCAGATATCTGCTCACCCTTTTTATTTCAGATGCCCACAATCGACCTACAAGCCCAAGCCCCCTCAGCGAGCCGGAGGTCACATCAGCAGCTTGCACAAGCGCCAGTGTTGTAGACACGGGAGCAGCTCAAAGCAATGGGCACTCTCGAGCTCATGCTATCCAGCCGCCTGCAGCCGCCGCCGCTAGGTACAGCATTGATGGAACTGACGCCTCAAGCCACGCCGCCACTAGGCTACCCAAAGGCAGGATGGCGGTCCTAGAGAATAGCTTAGCCAAAGAAAATGAGGTGAGAGAAACCTTACTGCGAGAGGAGCACGCACTCCGCCTCCGTCTCATGAAGGAAGACCACGATGACAAACTGCAGAAAAGGGCAACGGAGCACAGCTTGGAAATGGAAATAAAGCGAGCCAAAAAAGAACTCGTACTTCTGAAGCTCGAGCAGCTCAAGCAAGCTGAAAAATAAAGAGGGTGCTCAAATTTAACCTGGAACTTTAAAAGGTGGTTTAATTTCTTTCATAGAACTTGCAAGAGGAAAGCTAGGGCTATATCACATGACTCGCTCAGATGAAGGTAACATCAAATATACGTGAAAGGACCACCACAGAATTTCCCACCATCATTGCTTAAAGGGGCCCTGCAAGGACTTTTTACTGCTTTTTAATTTGCACCGAACCTGAGCGCACTGAACATAGTAACTTAGTGAAACCTTTCTTTTCGCGAAATTCGCTTTATTTTAAAAGTTATAGGCAATTTAGAATTACAAAAACAAGCAAAAAATAACCTCCTTCATGACGTCGTAGGTCCTGGCTTGAGTGGCCGTGAACTAGAGGAGGAATAGTGAGCTCATCGAGCGCTCACGGCCGCCGCACTCCGTGTCGACGGCGCCAGAGGACTCCACTAAAGCATGTTCTGGATAGGCTGTATGCAGCGGGCAGCCAAAGCGGCTTTCATTTCGTTTGCTGCGCTATTAAACACTAATACCCTTGTTACACGGGCACACTTAACTGCAGTTACGCTGAGCCACAGATAGCGCACAATACTTGCGGACAACATTCTGCGTTAATGCAGTCAAAGCTATGGGCGAACGTGCGCTTGAGCATGTTGAGCATTTATCGAAGCAGGGCGCGCGCGCTCTTCACTTCTTCTGAAATAGCTGTCAGAGAGTATAGTGCAGTATCTGTGGTGCCGCGCAACAGCAGTTAAGCTGAGTTAACCGCGGTTAAGTGTGCCCGTGTAACAGGGGTATAATTCTGCATGACATTTCATTGGCCACAAACGACAGCAAACACGGGGTAAAGATCAGTTCAGAATGGGAGCCCACTTCGCGCTGCCATACCGCGAAACGGCCAAACCGCAAGACAAAGCCTCTCGCGGAAGGCCTTCAGAACGCTCGGAGCCGGTCGGATCCTCCTGTCCATACGACTGCAGCGCCACCGCGTATATCCGGGATTTTTCCGTGTCGGCGCCTTATCCCACTACTCTTTTCTAGTATGCGCCGCCTTTTCCACCGCTTGGCGGTGGGTATGTTGACGGGTCATTTCTTGTTTCCGTACTTTATAAACTGCATTTCTTTCTTTTTTTCATCTATAATAGTGAACAAAAACTACTTTTATAAATAACTGAAACGGTTCGCACCACTTATATTTTGTATTTTGACCAAAAAGAAGTTTTTAGTGGCTCTGACCAGTAGTAAGCCCAGGACCAAAGACGTCACATTTTGCGCGCTTTCGGTACCGTGGGTCGCCCTCGTCGGTGGAGGAGGTTTCCGTGTCGTCCGGTCAAAATATGGCGCACTGATATTTAACTACTCCTTCCGTGCCCGCTGGCTTGCCCGAACCCCAAGAGACGTTGAAACCGCATAAAAGGTAGATGCTTTAATATGATTGCAAGGCCCCTTTAAAGGGGCACTAAGGAGGATTCTGTGATCGTCTGTTCTTGGTCATAACTGATTCTATCGGCCCTAAAGCATTGTAAAAATCCAAAAATTACAATCACGCAACACTGATTTCTTTATTAAAAACACAATGAAAGGTCGGGACACAGCCCTTTCCGAGCGAATCTTTCCGCTCGGGCAAGGCTAACACCAGCAGCGGTGTGAGTGCGGCGATGATGGGCGCTCGTCGGCCAATTGCAAACCCCCTCTCCAGGAGAGGCGGCTTATTGGCCGACGAGTGCCCATCGTCACTGTGCTTGCACTGCTGATGGGGTATGCCCCGCCTTTCCCGAGCAGAAAAATACGCTCAGTAAGAGGTGTGTCCTGGCCTTCCATCACGTTTTTAATAAGGAAATTGGCATCACGTGATTGTAATTTTTGGAATTTTAGGATGCTTAGGGCCCGTGGAATCCATTAGGACCAAGAACAGACGATCGCTGAATCCCCTTTAGTGCCTCTTCAAATCTTGAGCTTGCACGTGCAACAGAAACACTACTGAAGCCAGTACCCATGACCTAGGAGCAAGATGTCAGTCAATCCTTGGATGATCTAAAGAGGACTGAATTCACTCAGAAAGAGTTCTCATACATACCCATGCCTTCTAGAACACTCGAAGGTAAATATATTCCCAGCGTTACTTAAGGCCGGGGCTATGTCGCAGTGCACAGCGATTCGTCTAAGATTTTCCATACTGCCAAGTGAGGAAGCGCCCGCCTCGGTTTTCTATGTGTTTATTTCTATTGTTGCCTTCACCTGAACGGTCATTTCAAAGAATTTAGATTTATCTTATAGGACCACTGCATTCCTCGACGTCAGAAAATCACTGGGTCGTCGTGGCAATTGATCATATGGCCAGCCACGTCGAGAGATCCGCACTGCCAGCTGCCACTGCTCCGGAGGTTTCAGATTTTTGACTCGGCATTATTATGCCATAGAGCTCCACAACAATTGATGAGCCACTGTGGTGTCTTAATTTGATCAACACGTGTACAAGAACTTCTGCAGGCCTGTAATGTTGTTTACCGCACCATCACAGCTTCGGCCCAGTAAGCAAAAGGCCTAATTGAGCGGCTCAACCAAACGCACGTCGACATGTTTTCAACGTACATAAACTCAAACCAGACAAACTTTGAGAAAGTTGTCCTATTTATAACATTACCCTACAACACCAGCGTTCTAACCATAACCAAAATTTCTTTATATTTTTTTCTGTTTTGGAAGAGAAGTTTTGTGCTCCCTAGTACAGTCTTACCGTACTGGTTCGACTTTTTTAGAGCACCAGTCAGTCTCAAATGTAGCATCACACGCTGAGGAATGTGTTACATAATGCACAGTCTACAATGTTGACAACACATAAATTTTCTGTGTGGAGAGTAAAATTGGAGCGTCATGTCAGGATGCTCAAAACGGCATGCTCTGGCAAGGTGCTGTTTGAGCCCTAGCCAGAGTGCGCTGTTTAGCAGGGATGTGGGTAATCACATATAACTTGCTCATAGATGAAATAGATACATTTTAATTTTTATTGCAGTGCTCCTTCAATGGATACATATGTTTTGCGGCACAGTGGCACCAACACAGCTCAGTCTGATGTTGTTGCTTTGCTGCAGCAATGATGGAGCTGGAACTTATGCAAGCTGTGGCAGGAATGTAGGTAGGTAGCCGTGGTGGTTGGCAGCGATTGTGACCAGGCCACCCAAAGGCCAAATGGTTAATGGTGTCCCTAGAAAAGTCGCCAGGGGAAGAAGGTTGGCTCTCTCAGGGCAGGAGCATGCCCTCCATCTCTGCCTGCTGCAGTGGCACCATGACAACAGCCTGCAGAAATGAGCGAAGGCAATCAAAATTGAACACGCTGTGAACTTCCCCACTGTGTATTGCAAGGCCACTTGTCTTGTCGTACACAAAGTTGAGGCCGAAGTTTGCAAAGCACTTTAGTTAGAACTCTCATTCCTTCGAGATGGGCAACCTTTGTAAAACGTGGCGAAGTTCATCGAAGAGCATTTAGAGTGCGTTGATGATGTAGCAAGTTTGTCCCTGCATCCCTGCGCAACACTAGAGCAATGTTTTGTAGATTTTCCCTAGGCGAGCTGTTCAATGCTCCAAATCACTCCGAAATAATTGCACACAGCAGCATAATCTACAGCGAATCGCATTTCCAAGAAATGCCTTCACATTACATGCGTCTGTCGTAGCAATGGCGCTGCTTATCACATGGTGCACGTGCAGATGCTTCACGTCACTCAAAGCTGGCTTATGCGCATGCCCAGTGCCTCCACTTGTGTGTGGACTAGTTTTTAAATAATGAGCTTTTTCTATAGGACAGTTTCATAAAACGCTATTTTATATATTTACAAACCCTCGGCAACCTTACCGCCAAACATCTTCCCTCATTTTACCAATTTATTTGCATGAAAGAGATTCTTTATTGAAGCATGTTTTAGGTTTTCCAGACTCCAGAGGCACGGTACATGGCTCCGCTAATGGCACGATTGGATTCGTATTGCGGCTGTCACTTTCTTCCTCGTTCTGAAAGAGCAAAGATGAAGAGGAAAAGAACATGCCTATTTTAGCTCGCAAATTTGTGGGAATCGGGCATTCGACTAATGTTTTTGGATATTGGAGTGTTTAGCCGGTATGGGTTAGGATAGCCACCTGCTTGAACAAAGTCAAACACCTTTTTGGCGAACCTCTAATAAGTGAAGTTTTTCTCAATGATGATCTCTCGAGTCTGGATGCCCGTCAGGGTGTCCTCCACGGCATCAACGGGGGGCAGGTGTACCGGTCGCCTGGCCCTCCTCCTGTTGTTGCGGACCCTGCGCCTGACTGGTGGAGGTGGAGGCGGTGGAGGCTGCGGCTCCCTCCTCAGGCATGCCAGGTTGTGCAGGGCAGCACAGGCCGTCACAATGCTGGCTGAGCGACCAGGCTTATGCTGGAGCCGCATATCCAAGCAAGGGAAGCGCCGCTTCCAAACTCCAAACGCCCTTTCGACAGTGTTTCGTGTTTTTATGTGGGCCTCGTTGTACCTGGTTGAATGGGAAAGTATAAATAAGTTTAGGTGATGTACATCTTCAACTTTACTTGCAATGTGCAGTTAGAAGGTTCACCCTATAAACAAGCATGCAAGTCGTTGGAGGCCTGCAACTTCTTTCTGCAGATAAACATTGTCGTTTCATCTCCCGCCCGAGCGAGCTGGTGAGAGCTGAATGTGGTGTTCAACCGGAGAGTGAGATTAATGACAAGGAATGCTTTATAAGAATAATTGAAAATGAGCAGATTGGTGAATAGATATGAATACACGAAAGGATAAAACATCGAGTTCGGGGACGGAAACAGGACTTCTTTTATTATAGTGGCCATGTTTATGCGAATGCGATACTAGTGCATTGAATCGAGCTAGCGAATCAAATTGGTCCATGTAGATGCCCCGATTTGCTAGCCAAGCACATCGAATCGGAACTGATCTGCTTGGTGGGAGTGGATTGAGTGCTTGCGCGAGGAATCATGGGTATGTTTCATTGCATGCGAAGAGCAGTGATGTGATTGGTCGCAGTCATTTTGGAGTAGCTATTGGAGCAGCGAAAACTTCATTTTGGAGATGGAAAAAGAGCTTTTGGAGCATAACTGCACTCTTCATTTTCATTTATATCACTGCAAATGCGAGGAGGAGAGACGTCAAATATTAGGAGGAGAACAAACACTAGCTGTTTAGTTGCGTGTGGAGGCACCAGACACGGTAACAAGAAGACTACAGATGAAGGACAGTGCAAACTGCCGTGAATGATTATTTTATGTACAAAATCCCACTGAAGAAATGTTAAAATACAATCATTTCGAGCACCTAGCCCACCAAAACAGACCACGAGACTTATTGCAAAACTTCTGAGTACTGTTAGTGCTTGGTACAAAATCAAACCAAATAGTATGTTATTTGAGGCGATTATCGAAAGTCCTGACAACCCCCGCACGAGCCTACCCTAACAATCCAACTCGGTACCAAAGCCTGCAGCTGTTATATTTTCAGTAATATTTAAGTGAACTTAAGTTCTGGTGCAATGTTGGCGCAAATTCCTCACATTTTGGTCAAATGTAGCAGGGTAAGCATTTTGGCACAGTTTGGTGCAAATGGCGCAGCAATGAGATCACTGCAAGAGTGGACGTAGATGACCAACATGGCGGCAGTCGCAACAGCAGCTGGCGAGAATGGCCCCATCGTTTTCAGCTTCTAGAAAACAGACGTTTCTTTGGCTGATGGGAGAAATAAATGTAAGTTCACTATGCTGACAACGCAACCAGGTGCACTTCTAGCAGTTGTAGGGGGAGCTCGTATTGTAAAGCCGGGGCCTCGCCGCTTATACGCCATATATCAAACTACCTGCAAACAGATTTGAATTAGAGTCACCACGACATTCGTGCTTCTATGCTGGATGGAAACCAATGCAAGCAGTAGGTTGGTACACAGCATAGGGAGCACAGGTATCACGGTGACATGTGCTGGAAGGGTGTTTGAAGACTGCTTATACATCACAAACAAAGTCCGCATGATGAACAGTTTTCTATGCGACAGTTAGCGAAACAAAACCAAGTTGCTGAAACCAGAGACACCAAGCACAGCAGCCGCTAGCAGCACACTACGCCATTTTCGCTGCTTCAAAAAGCCAGGAGCTTTGAAATGACGTTAATTCAGGCCTGGCTTTTCTTTCCCACATCCTTGTACTAGAAGTGCACATGGGCGTACCAACCGGGGGGGGGGGGGGGGGGGCAAGGCATGTGTTTTGCCCCCTCTGAAACAGCCGCCACTGGGCAGGGCAAACACTGGCTGGCAGCGCCCAAGGGATACCGAGGACACCACCCCCGGTCCTGGGGGGGGGGGGGGGGGGGGGGGGGGGGGGGGGGTCTGGTTTGCCTTCCCATTCAAAAACAAGTTGGTACGCCATTGGAAGTGCACTAAAAGCACCACCGCCTCGGAGTGACGTACGAGACCTCAGTTGGGGCATATAAATTGTAACACTGCTTAAACGGAAGTTCCACAAAACACTGTTTCCTTCCAGTACAGTTAGTTTTCACAAATACAAACCATTTGCTAGTGCGCTCTTGTCTGTCTACTTCCTCGTACTTGTGTAGTTTTCTTTTGGTGCTTTTTTCGGTGTTCCTTCCATTGTGTAGTTTTCAAACACGTAGGTGAATTGGTGAACCTCCTCCACGCTTTGTTCTATACGCCTCGCAAGTAGGCTCATTTTCGTCTTCTGCGCATGAGAAAGGAAGTAGCGATGACGTCAGAACGCCGAGCCCTGATTGGCTGATCGCGACCCTCTATCTGAGCGTCTTCTGCTCCTTGCAACGTCATCTGCTCTCAACGTCGTCTGCGTCTGTCTTACCTTTCCTGCGACTTTCGGAAGTCGAGCGAGCTCGACTTCGCCTTTCAGAGAGGGCAGACGAAATAACTCGAGCAGTACGTTGTTTTTGTCTGACAACTAGCAGACGCGCATCATGCAAGGAGGGAAGTCAAAGGACTCAACTGGCGAGGTGTCCCGAGGCGCCGAGGTTTGTTTGCTAAGAACCGAGAGTGAGGGTGGTTAGTGTCTGCAAGTTCCCTCCCAAACACTTTTTCCCTCCTTTCGTGTGCAGCGAGACCCCTCATTCTTTAACGGCGTCGGCGGTTTGGCGCAGGTAACGTCGTCTGCTTTACATCTGCTAGTCAAAGCGATGGCTGCTTCACCTTTCCTGCGTCTGTCGGAGATTCACCGCTTTTTCACCGGCGAGAGTCAGCGTTGCCTCGGGAAACAAGGAGATAACAATTAAGAGGAAGAAATTGACCTCTTAATCTAAATTTGAGGTCAGCGATCAAAGTATAACACGGGAAGGGTTCACAAGGGTCGCGCGGGCATATTCCATTCAGCACGCCAGCCGGTCGTGGGCAGACGGTCGCCGAGTCGCGGAGTGCCTGCTAGGCCTAACTGCCGAACTCTCTTGGTCGCGTTCGGTGGAATCGTGGCCATTGGAGCTTTTCCCGGGTGTTTGTGGATCCAGCGTTCTTGTTCGTCGTGGTATGTTTTCAGTACTTTTTACTTTTTTCTTGCTGATTGAAGTCGGGACGCATGAGAAGCGCACGTAGAAAAATAAACGTCCGTGGGTCGTCGCGACCGCGACGCTGTCGGCCATGCTGATCTGATCGTAAGAAGTGCGTAAGACAGCTTCGGAGCTGTCGTAGGATTTCATCGTAACCTGCGCAAAACTTACGAAAATTTCGTTTCGTGAGTACGAATTAGTTCTTAAGTTTTGTCTAGCGCACATTTTTAGCGTAAGATCTTTTCGTGAATCTGGCCTCTGCACTTCCGGAAGTCGCAGGAAAGGTAAGACAGACGCAGACGACGTTGCGAGCAGACGACGTTGCGAGCAGACGACGTTTGCGAGCAGACGACGTTGCAAAGGAGCAGACGACGCTCAGATAGGGGGTCGCGATTAGCCAATCAGGGCTCGGCGTTCTGACGTCACCGCTATCCCCTGCACAAGAAGCAGACGAACTTGCCCTCCGCATAGATGTGCACTGATTTAAGTGGTAGGCCCTCGCTTTATTCCCTTTTTAGAGATTCACTGCGGATGCATCCACCAGTCATCTTGGCTATTGACAAGCCCTCTGCTCCCATGTCGGCTCCTTTGAACTCCAAATAATAGTCTATGTTTGCAAAACCAGCGCTATTTTGTTTCCATCTACTCCCCAAAATGCATTTGATCATAGGAAGTGCTTGTGCAGACCAGACCAAGTGCTGAAGCACTTCTAGGATTTACTTGCCTGCCCCGTGGTGTGTCTGCTCTAACGGGCTGTGCAAGGGGAGTCATTAGAAAGCGGAAGCATGCATAGCCCATGTCTCCCAGCAGATGCCCGGGCAGTCGGTGCTCCTCGTACATGACCCGCAGCCTCGAATTGTCAAAGATGCGGCTGTCGTGGACAGACCCGGGCCAGCTTGCCACGACATCAAAAAACTGAAGCTGCGGACCGGTGACAGCCTGCAAGTAGATTGAATAATACATAGAATCTGGTGGCGTCTCTCTGGTTGACATTTTGAGAATTCTTGACAAATATATTCAATCTGGAATAAATGTGTGCCAGCTACTGAGTGCAGACACCTTCATGGTTCCATGCTCTAGTTTTATTAAAATGGAGAGCGCACATCGCAAACAATTTACAAACTAGAGATTCTATTCTAGCAGAAGCTGCAAATTCCTCATCATGGTACAGCCAATCAACTGAGCTATTTGCAGCTTGATAAATACCTGGGTGTACAATACATTTTCGGACTTGGCGCTTGTGAACATGCACGCATCATTCGAATATACGATCGCACAATCGTGCCAAGAACGCGCGAACACGTTTTCGTGGATAGCACATTCGCTCGGTTTTGATAAACTGGGAACCCACCTGGACATTGATGGAGAACACTCCTTTGCGGTTGCGGTATACTTCCGCGTCGTCACCGCCGGGGCTGTTAATTCGCACGTGGGTACAGTCAATGCAGCCCGTAACGCCGGAGAATCCGGCGATCTCGAAGAATTCGCGCATCACAGTGTTTAATTGGGAAGCGTCCGGAAAATGCACGAGTTCTTTGAACAGATGCCGTGCGATCAGGCGCGTCACGACTCCGACCGTGCGGCAGACTGTCGGCTGGGACACGTTGACGAGGTCCCCCGTGACAATCTGAAACGCCCCGGCACCGTAGAACCGCAGGGTCACCAGGAGTTGCAGCATTGGGGGCAGCGGCAGACCCCTGTTGTCAGCGCTCGCTTGAAGAGGTAGCGTGGCGAGCAGCTCCCGCACGGTTCCCTTCGTGAAGCGGTACCGCGCGAGGAACTGCCCGTCGTTGTACCTCTCCATTGGGTTTTCGCGGTCTCGAACCGATGGCCGCGGGACTCTCGGTAACGCGTACACGTTGCCGAAGATGAGGTCAGAGGCGCGGGAGGCAAACTCGAACGCCGCGATTCTCCGAGCGACGTCGGAAGCCGACATCTTGGAAAACTCGCCCAAGTCAAGCTCAAGTCACGTTCAAGACAGGTACAACGCTGTCTTGAAATTTTGAAGATTTGGATCAAGTCAAGATCGCTTCAAGTTCGCGTTTCAAGTCAAGGAGGATTTATGAAACGCGATGGCGTCTTTTCAAGACGGCTTCAAGTCAAGTTCGAGTCAAGTTACATCTATGAATTCGGGGGTTAGTGTCACTCCGAAATGATGGCAATAGGCCTCCTGCGCTGAAGCTTTGAACAAACTATAGCGCCCTCATTTTGGGTAGTACAAGCTCACCTGATTGAGCACAGCCCTACTTATGGCACGTTGGTCGAGCTTTTTCAATTCTATGTGGTGCTAAAGAGCGAAAAAAACAACTGTGGACGCCAGAAATTGGCCAGACTTGACGTTGCAAGAGACTCGAAAGTGACAAATTCATGACACCACCGCTAGGGCACGCGTCGCTTACCTCTGGGTGGTGACGTCACAACACCTGTGTCGCGACGCTTTAATTTTTTTCTCTTTTCGATGTTTACTTTGGAACGCGTGAAACGGCATCTCTTGGCTCACGCTCTCAGCGTCTTAGCTTTGACGGCGTTCGAATTTTTGTTCTGTCTTTGCATTTTCATCGTGATCTCGCGCTCCGCACCAGAGCAGGCACGCTTCTGCATGCATGGCAGTTTGAGACGCTAAAATTTGTACTACCCAAAACAAGTACTAACAAGTCTTATTCGCAGCACCCTCTGGGCAGCGCAGGAGGCCCATAACGATGGGTAAGTAATGGGCACGCAACATATTACAGTGCATACGCATTTTTTCATAAATAACGTCTTCGTCTTATTAGAAACACGTTACCGCACATTGTTGCGCTAAGTCACGAGTTTTAATCCAAATTTCAATCCAATTTGATCATTACGATCAGCCATTACCAGCCAGTGATACACGTCCGCACGCCGGTACGATACTCTGTTGCACGTTATGATGTACCGCAGAAAAGGCTACAAGCGCGAGCTCCTTGCTCTAGGGCACATCAAGGCGGCACATGCTCTCGTGTGTTAAGAGTACCTCCCAACGCTATGAGCTTGCGCTTCTAGCCTTGTCTGCGGTACAACATAAGGTGAAACAAAGTACAGATCGAAACGAGCAGAAGTAGGGATTGAACCCAGGATTCCTGGGTTCTGCAGCGCGAGCTTTCGCTCCGCGTGCTCCGAGCTGGTGTGCGCGAGCCCACTCGGCCACTCGCCACAATGAAACATCATGGAGTGTGTGGAAGACGAGCTGGAGGGCGATATCCGCGATGTTGGACAGTGGAAGCGCGTGGTTGGGGCACTTTTCTCCGTGAGTGCCCAACGCCTTTCAGATAAGACGCAGCTGGACCATGGATGCCGACGCATAGGCAAGAATTTCAAGTGACATCGATCAGCAGCTACAGGACAATGCCTTCACCATAGCCGCTCTCATGAGCGACAACCTACTATTATGTTGCAGCCCTGGTCGCCGGCATAGCGACCACGAAGTAGAAATGCGTACGCCGCGAGCTTCGAACCCAAAATCTGATCTTTATCGCGATGTGGATGCTCTATATACAAAATGACAATGTTGCCGACACAACATATTCCCTCCCTAAAAACAACAACCCAAGAAACTAAATACAAAAAAATAAAAAAAGGAACAGTGTAACTGATAACAAAACAACAGCAACATAGTTCATTACGGAGTCTCTCTGCCAGGCAGGCTTTCTCCTCAGCAGAGGTGCTCTCGTTTTCCTTGTATTGACCTGGGCCGAAGCTGCCTCTGACTCCGAACAAGCCGCGGTCTCGGTTGTCGCCGAAGAAGCCACGGGACCAGTCTCTGGGATCTCGGCTACAGCCGCATCAGCCGACTCTAGCGTTGACGCCGCTTGCTGTGATGCTGTCGACAGGCGCTTCCGCTTCTCCACAACCGGAAATCTTCGACGCATTCCAGGTCCGGTTGTCGCTGAGGATATAAGAACCTGGTCCATGTGTACCAGTAATAAGCACAGGGCGCGTATAGTGCGATGTCCCTTTCTTCGGTATGTTTGGCTTGCGAACCCTGACGGAATCGCCCGGCTTGAATGCGGGCGCCCTTGCTCCCCTCCTGGAGTCCGTGTAGCGCTTGCTGTAACCCTGCCGCTGCTGTACTCGCGCTCTGAGGTCAGCTAATTCAGAGCTAGGGTTCACAAAGAACTTTGATGACGGGAACACCACAATGTCCAGCCTCGACCGAGGAACTCGACCATGCAGGAGCAGAGCAGGCGAAACCCCCGTTGGGGCATGAGGTGTGCACCTGTAAACGCCCAGGTACTCCAGGACGGCCACTTCAAGAGGTCGGTGCTTCAGTGCTGCCACCTGGATGAACCCCTTGAAGACCTTGCCCGTTGCACTGTGGGTAATAAACCGACGAGCAGCGGTGACAAATTCCTCGTTCTTTCAGGAAGTCTTTAAAGGCTGCCGACTTGAACTGCGACCCATGGTTCGCCAGAATTTCATCTGTGTAGCCTTCTCTGCTAAGCGTAGCAGATAAAAATTTAATCACCATCTGTGTTGTCACAACTGATGCGAAGCATACCTCTGGCCACTTTGAGTAAAAGTCTACCAAGCTAATGGCATACTCGTGTCCACTCCCAGTTCTGCTGATTGGCCCAACAATATCCACAGCCAGTTTCTGCCAGGCCCGTTCTGGAAGCGGAATTGGCTGAAGTGTTGCTGTGACGGGTTTGGCAGACTTGTCTGCAGACTGGCATTCACAGCAGTTCCTGATGACTTGCTCCACCTGTTGGTCGAAACCCGGCCACCAATATCGCTCGCGCAACCTTTGCTTGGTTCTGACAATGCCAGGATGGGTCTCGTGTGCCAGCTCAATCATGGTGGCCATCAGCGACACTGGGATGACCAGTCTTCTCCTCGTAGCAGCAAGTTGTACACCACTGCCAACTCGTCTCTCACTCGAAACAAAGCGAGTAACTTGGAAGTCAAGCTTTTTTTGTCTGGCCACCTGGTTGAAATGTACTTCATGACAAGTTGTAATGTCTCATCCGTCTGTACAGGCTCTTTTAGTTCATGCTTTGTGATGCAAGATGACACGAATGATACAATTTCTTCCTCCTCTTCATCACCGGTAGGTAATGGCAAGCTTGACAGAGCGTCTGCTACTTTGTTGTCGCTTTCTCGGTGATATCCAACTTCGAAGTTGTAATGAAGAAGGCGAGATGACCACCTTGAGATCCTCAGTGGCCTTCGGCCATTCCCTTGAGAGGATAAGAGAGTTACTAGCGCTTGATGATCCGTGCGTAGCTTGAACCGCCGTCCTCAGAGAAGCACGTGCCAATGCTCGCACGGCCACAAGCAGGCAACGGCCTCCTTCTCTCCTACGGAGTACTTCTGTTCAGCCGGCGAGTGTGTTCGTGAGACAAACGCCACTGTTCTCAAGTCATCGCCAACACCCTGCTGAAGCACAGCACCGAGCCCATGCAGGGATGCATCTGCAGTGACAACTACCGGTAGTGCAGGATTAAACATCTGAGCAGCACCGCATGTAGAGAGCGATGTCTTGACTTGCTCGAAACTCTGTTCTGCTTCTTTGTTCCATATAAATGGGACCTCTTGAGGCAACAGCTTCCTTAGAGGCTCTACTACTTCTGCATAATTTGGCAAAAATCTTGCGTAGTATCCGACAAGTCCCAAGAACGACCGCAAAGCAGCTGCATCTTTTGGTACGGGAGCCCGTGATCAGTCGAGAACGGTGGACTTTCCAGAGGAACGAACTGTGGTTCGATGACACCTTGCCCCATTTGGGCGAGTTCTATTTCAAGCCAGCATTTCGCGTCTCTCCTGCCACCTTCAGATTCCTGGTGGAGTCTTGCAGCTGCCTCCTGGCCGTCGCTGGCCGTCTCGCAGGGGCCAAGGCTGGAAACTAGATTAACCGCTTGTTTTTCTTTAATGCACTACTTCCCTGCCCACAGAAAATAAGCGCGCATCTAATATCTCTCCTATCCAAATAATACTAATTTTACGCAGCGTTAATTTCATCTATTATTTTAACTCCTTGAACACTGCTATCGAGATTACACACTTGGTCTACCGGAGCGAGCGTGGTGTGCTTCCCGAACTCACTTTATTGGAAGAGTGTTCTTCGGGCAGGGCTGGGAATTTAGCTCAAGATTACTGGGTTTTCCTTCTCTAGCGGGAGCTTTCTCTCCACGTACTCCGATCAGGTGGGCGCTAGCCCACTCGGCCACCGATACCCCTTAATAAAGAGACGTTAAAAAAAATTTGACGTTTACAATACTCTATAATGCCGTATTGGAGCGCAGCTCTTGAGGAGGAGGGAGGAAGGGTACGAAAAGGAGGGTATGCCAGCTGCTCCCCCTCCGTACTTTCCCACCCTCCTCTCCTGTTCCCATCCCACTTAGCGTAAAATTTCCGCTAAATTTCCCGCTAGATTTAGCCGGAAAATTTTCGCGCTGAATTGACGTGTGACGTCCCATGACACGTCATCTGAAATTTCAAGTGTGACGTCACGTGACGTCACACGGGTAAAATGTTTCGTCTAAATCTAGAGGAAAAAGTTTCCGCCAAACGTAGCAAAAACTTTTACCGCAAAATATAGCGGGAAAATTTTACCCTTGTGACACCACACGTGACGTCACGTGTGACGTCATTTTGGGAAACAGCCCTTAATGCAATGCGCGGTTACGCCGACGCTGCTCAACCCAGAAACGGGTGCCTAGGAGCTGTGCTATAAAACAACGTTACATTAATGAGCCATTTTGAAGCCAATAGGATGATTCTGATCGATCATTGCAAGTCAAGATAAAGAACGAAGCATATCCAACCTTGGCGTTCCGCTTCGTTCCACGGAAGTCTACGAGTAGGCCCTGACACTGCCTAATCAGATCATAATTATCGTGTTGTCTCGAATAGTTACATGCTGAAACAAAAGTAGGTGCTATCATTCTCTGCTAACCAAGATAGGCATGAATGACTGACTTTGTCGTCGTCTTTTATCAATTTAGCGCTCCGCTAATCTTGATTCAGATCAGCCTAAACTCCAAGTCAACCCCACTATTTTTTTTTTTTTTTGCAATGCCACTCTTCTACATGTTGCCTCTTTCACGAATTTCTTTTTCTTTATAAAATAAAACTTACGCCACGCTTTTGGTTTCTGTGTTGTTATGT